ATATTTAGGTAGACCATCCTCTAGAGGGAACAGCTGCAGTGCCTTTCGAGGAAAGGTCGAGTTGTCAGAGCAATTCGCATGTACAAGTAGCGTTATTCCTGCAGCAGTCTTGTGATCTCTTCGAACCCATGACACTACACGAATTTGGGAGCACATGAGATGCTACACGAATGACAAACCTCGTTAGAACTTTTAAAGTTTTTGCATAAGCAGCCAGTCATATCGGTTATGCCTAAAGCAGCTCGAGTCTTTTTCTGCGCGGTCGTCGGATCTACCCAAGACGTGCATGGCGGCTACGCTATCAATGACTGCACACTGGAGGTCCTTTCGGGTTTCGGAAGGAGTTTTGGGCTGGTTTCCCTACTCGGGGTACGTATTTGCTCAGGCAAACTGTCACGCTATGACATATGTTCGACCAACTGCTTCAACGCCTCTGTAGTTGTAAACACCCTACGCCCGATAACGACCCAACTGCAGATCCGATAGCCCAGCCGAGTAGCAACCATGGCAGGCCTCAGCATCCGCGCCCGGGCTGAACTGGGCAGCTGGCCGCAGTTCGAAGGCCACTTCCAGGAGCATGAGGCAAAGGTGGAGGAAGGGAAGGAAGCCCGCAAGGCTAAGGCCAAGGTCTGGCCCAAGAGGACTCCGAAGCAGGAAGCGGAGAAGAAGAAGCGCCAGCGGGCCAAGCGGGCGAAGACGTGGCCGGCGGAGGAGGCGACCCTCAAGGCGGACCAGGCCAAGAGACCCCCACAGGGTAAGTTTAATCACGTCCCTGCATCTGGATTGCTGCAGCGGGCAGTTGTTGGAGTTGAGCCCGATGGGTTTGATTGCGTCTGGCGCGAAGGACACTCAGCAATTAGGAAGTCGTGCTTCTTGAACAATCAGCACTGAGGCTGCTGCAAACCAACCGCTTGGAACTGGAGCTTTTGATGCGGCGCCTCGGACGTCATTAAGCGCTTAGCGGTCCCTACAGTCTTGCTCCTAAACCCCGAATCCTTAAAGCTAAACTCAAGTTCCAAACCCCCACCCTAAATGCTGCATCGGAAAGATCCGTGACATTTGGAAGATCCCATCTACATAGGGTAATCGGAGCTGCTGCTGGAGAGAGCCCCAGGCCCGACATGGCACAAGGTAAAGTTGAGGTTTGTTACTTAGCGGATCTTGGGATGCAGATCTTTCTTGCTTGGAATGGTACTCGGTCCTCTATGGATGAAGCTTTTGGTAAACTCAGCACAAGATTGGCATTTTGGGGGAATTGTGTTTTACTTTCACTGCTTCGTCATATGGGTTGCTCAGATGTGCCGAAGAAATACTGAGTAGGATCCGTATTGACGACCCAGCATCCAACAGAGCTCGAGCCTGATGATGAAAAGTTCTTAGTTGGAATCCTGATATCAAACAGCTCGTGTCCACTGATCAGACTCAGGGACAGCCGAGAAGCGGCATCAGCCGCCCGACGACTCAAAGCGATGGCTCTTCGGTTTCATCTGGGGTTCTTGTGGGCTCATCTGAGCGTAAACGGATTTGGGGTTTAGGGTTGGCTTAGGGGTTTAGTGGTTTAGGGGGTTGAGGAACTGAACATGCAGTGTACAGGGTTTTGTGGGCTCCGCTTCGGTTACAGGTCCTCCTGTTGAGGAACGTAGCCTCAGTGGCCATAATTCTGGTATATCATCAACAACATACTTTCCTTACTATTTTTCAGAGCTTTGCCTGGGTTTGAGACGTTTAAGAGATCAGGGAGGAGTTTTGTTGTTCGGGCTTCAATCGCAGGGCTGGGCCTATAGTGTTGTATGTTTCCAAACTACAAGTGCTGATTCCGTTTATACGTTCAAGGTTTCGAGCTTGATGATTTATTCCGGAGGCACTGCAAGGGTTTTGTGGGGTCGGAGGGCCGTTGGCTTCCGAACAGTAGGGTGCGAGGCCCAAGTAGCAGGTACGTTACGAGTCCTAAATCCGTAAGCTTACAATAAGATCCATGCAAGACGTCAAGAGGTGGAGGCGTGTTGTTTAGAAACGCAGCGAATATTATCAAAAGACTTCAGGGGTAAGCGCCCTGGCCATAGATTGTAGTTGACTTTCCCACGTTCAAACCACTGGTTTGTTTTGGCCCATCAGTAGAAGAACCGTTCCCGGAGCCCTCAAGCCTAAACACTACGCCACTAAGCCTTGGAACACCCTTAATCTTAGAGTCCCCTAGTTAAATCGTAGAAAGGCGGCAACCGGAAACTCTCGGTGACCTCAAGCCCTAGCATAGAAAAGCATGTGAACCCGCAAAACCCCAGTGAACCTCGAAGCAGTGATTTACAAATCAGGTTCAAGCACGCGGGCAGGCCCTGGACGGGAAAGCGAGGGCTTTCGAGTTTAGAGTTGCGTTTAGGCTTCCTGCCCCCAAAAAGCCCTTTCTAGGGTTGCGAACCTAAAACTAAACCCTATAGCAATCCTTCTAGTGGCCTTTTTGTGGGGATGAGGCTGCAAGATGGGATTGGGGGGTTTCGTGGCA